ATAAGTCCATGCCTATGTTTCTGAAACCCACAAAACGCAGGCCCGTATTATGTTGTTTTCTGAAAATCTAAGTGTAAAAACTCGAGTGAAAACTCCTAAATTCCCGAGAAATACACGCCACCAGGGCGTTGCACTCTCTTTAGATTACCTATAGTCTCCCTTGTAGTTCCTTTTTGGGGGTACCTTTTTGGATCCTGAATAGAGACTTGGTTCAATCAATAAAAAGAACTACAATGGAGACTATAGGTAGGGTTTAGGGCTCTCGTAAGTTACGGTTGCGGCCCCCAGGTCTCCGTTTCTGTTTCTGTCTCGTGGATTCTCTTAGGGCCTTAGGGAAGGAGAGGGCAGGATGGTTCGAGTTGAGGAAAGCTTAAACTTAGGAGGTATGGGCTCTATGCGGTGTAAAGGTTGGTGCTTATAATGCAGGAGCCTTAGCAATTAGAATAGGGTTCTGGGGGTTCTTTGTTATAGTTATAGTATAATATAGCCCCCAAAACCTATTCTAATCATTAAGGCCCCTACATCATAGGCTTCCAGCCCCCCTGTCAAGAGTATTTAGGCAATATTGGAAGTCTCGGGAGGATGCACAGTCGCAGTCTGTGCGATCGGCCATAGGCTAAGACGCAATTTCTCGATGCAGTCATGAACAATGCCAACGCAACTCACGCAGAAGCTTTGGGGAAAACTCTTCTCATGCAGCTTATGAGAAATGTTTCTGGGCTGTTGCAAAGGGTGAGGTCAATGTAAGAGCCTATGATCTGTGTTCAGCCGACAGCTAGGGCAGCTAGGGTCAACGCAGTCTCCACAGGTACCGGCATCACAAGCCTAATCATCGGACGGTGTTCGATCGCATCTGAATCCCAGCTACAGAGTCCGACATCCTTACAGTAGGAGCCTGAATAACATTGACAAGGTTTGTGAGTACATTCGAGCCCTAAACAAATCATTTGTATTTATTCCGCCCCCTACATATATTGGATCTGAACCCGTCAAGCTGGAAACGACTTCGCTGTTGATGCTATGGCATATACGCACCGAAAACTAAGTCTACAGACCCTCCGAGCCAATCGGAGGATCCTTAGGCATACCCTATGCAGGGTGGCTCGTTTGCAAAACAACATGCAGACCCACCCTCCCAGTGTTACGTCTCTCTCTCTCTCGCGCGGACTCAGAGTTCTGTCAGAAGCAGGGTCGTCTAGCACGAAACCAAAACCCTGAAGCCGAAATCTTTAACCCTTATGCTCTTTGGTCTAGGGTAGGATCGCAGGCGTAGAACTTCCAGGGCTTCGTGGTTTTATATCGACACCCGACCGCACAAAAACTGACGCGGCCCACCGAAAACTCCCATTGGAGCCAAATTCCCAGGAGGCCTCCTAGAAAGCCCAGGAAAGCGCCACTGAGCATCCCGAGGAAAGCGCCCGCGGCGGCCATGAAGGGCCCTGGAAGAGAGGACGTTTCGACTCACACACTGGCACAAGGCAGGCATGGCTTCGATGGGTCTGAACTTGCTACAGAAGGGGTTTAGGGTCTCGTTCTGCTGCTCGGGTGTAGGGCTTTCCAGCTCTAGGGCTTAGGTTTCGGATTGTAGGGTTTCTGCTTTAGGGTCCAGGTTTTCGCCGGCTGTTGATGTTTATGAAGAGAGGGGCTTGAAGAATTAGTTTTTTTTGGGGGGGAGGGGGGGGGGGCGGGCCTCCCTAGAATTTCTTACTATGCACCCCAGCCTGACCAAATCCGCCTCTACATGTGCACGCAAGGATTTCTACGAGGCTCTTGGGAGGCTTCATGGACTTCCAGAGGATTGTCGCTGAAGTCCTTGTGCGGTGCAGGCCTTAAAGTTGCGCATCCATGCTCTTCGGGTATGCACTATGTCGACAATATAGGGTTTTAGGGTTTAGGGTTTGGGCTACATGTCCTGGTTGGCGGTTACATTCCGCAGGCCCTAGCATGTGCAAAAGCCAGCCTGTGATGCTCATGAGCAGCATGGCCACAGCTACCTTCAAGCATGTAGGGGGGACGGACCTGGTTTCTAGGGTCTAGATTTGGTTTGGGATACATATTATCGAGACATGAGAAAAAGCTATATACATCCTGAGCCCTTACTGTACGAACCACAAAGCAGCTGGAATCAGCATTCTGGTCAGTTTACAAGCAAGAGAATGATGAGTTTCTGCCCAAAACAGATGGAAACATCACATCGAATGATGGCACTTGAGAGGTTTGCACAATGGGCTGTGATTTGAATGACGCGTGATGCAGCCATTTTGTGCTCAGAACAAGATAGTTGCGCAGGCACTAGCTTTTCAAGCTTGTACATGTAATCAGTCTTTCTCTCGCCCCGGCAGCGAGAGCGCTTCAACAACGATTCTGGGGCCGCCAGAATCCTCAGAGAACTTGGCGGGACCCTGAACCAAACCCCAAACCCCACGCTCGGGGCCTCCCTCTGCTTCCTAATGACACCCTACGGCTCTTGCCACACAGAAACAGTCGGCTTCTAACCATCTGTCCATGTAACCCAGTAACCCATTATTTCGGTAACTGACGCAATAGGGACACCGGGACACCTGGGCGCAAGGCTCAACTCTTCAGCAAGATATTATCATACTATACTATACTACACTATACCATACTATACTATACTGTTCTGTATGACATGGTCTTATATTAACTGTAAATCTATTTCTAGAGACCAGACCGGAACCTTGCCTGTACAAAGTGCGAGGATGTGGGGTCCACGTAGGAAGCTCCTGCAAACTGCAGGCTCAGAGGATGGTCTGCAGGCTGTCACGGGGTGGGGGGTTGAGAGCGCAGAATCTAAGGGGTCTCTTTCGGGGTTGAGGTTTTGCTCCAAAACTCACGATTCTGGTCACAGCTTAGAATATTCCGAAAGCTCTCAGCTCAGAGCAGGTTGGAAGTGAAATGGGAGTGGCTGCGCCATTTTCTGATTGAGGCCTGACTAAAGGCCGAAGCACCGAAACAGCTCCTACTCAGAACAACCTCGGAAGGTAAAGACAGCGTCCAGCTGAATGCATGCAGGACTTGTGCCAAGGTAGGCTGTGTACGTGTCATACAGCAATCAAGCCCTAACATGGGATCCAGCGAAGAAGTGACAGTAGCAGTGCTTCGCTCCAGTTTCATGGAGACATAGAGACTGTATATGTACACAGCCATCCAGCCCATCCACCAGACATGAATACAGAAAGCTAGTTTTATTGTCAATACCAGAATTCATACTTTAAGCTGATCCTGAAACTAACCTTAATACTGGGCTTCGTGCCGGCATATAACTGTATCACTATCAATCTCAAGACGTATACTGATGAATGTGGCTTTCCGAAGCCGCTCGGCAGACTCGCACGCGAGAACTAATAAACCAACATCTCGCCCCCTATAATGAACTCTGAATCTTGAAGTCCTGAGCCATAAAACCCGAAGCCCTAAACCCTATATCCTAAATCCTAGACCCTTAAAGGCTGCACCTTGAATCCACAAACCCTACAACCAGAAAGCCCAAGCCCTAAAGCCTAAGCCCCATCACGGAGGTCCTCGGAAGCCTAGGAAAACAGCGCAGGCACCCAAGAAGCCGCCGAAGGCAGCACCGCCTCGAATAGGTTGTTACCTATAGTCTCCATTGTAGTTCCTGTTTTGGTTTAACCAATTCTAGATTAAGGATCCAAAAAGGTAACCCCAAAAAGGAACTACAAGGGAGACTATAGGTAGGTTTTAAGGTTTCTATCATGACTGTGGTTGCTATTGCTCTTGTTGATACTCTTTCTTAGAAACTAACATTAAGCTATCATTTGACTCAGTTCCATTCTACTAAGTCTGGTTTTATTATGTTCTTGCATATTTTTAAGGATCTAGGCTTTGCAGGGATCAGCTTTCAGGGTTAAGGGCTTATGGGGTTGAGATTCAGGGTTTAGGGCTTGTAGGGTTCAGGGTTCAGCGTTTCGGGTGCCACTCTTCCGTTGGGTAGTTGCTGAGTACCCGACCAAACAGAAATGGCGGTTCAAATAAAGTGTTACACCAGCCATGTTTACATAACCAAAGAGTTTCGCAACATGGTTCTTTAAAGGTGTACATGAGCTCATACATATACACACAGATGAAACAGATGTTTAAAGAGGTTACATGTGACTACTTGCAAGCTACGTAGCACAAGATCGAGAGCTGTCAGGATACTGTATGGTAGCTTCCGGGTCAGATCAACTTCGCGATTCAGGTCCACAGATTCATACCAAATTATGTCAGGCATGTCCTCGCATGTCATGTCGAGCATGGTTCCAGGTTCTGGCTGCTGTATCATAGTACGCTTGGGTACTGGGTGGTTGCCTACCGCTAGCTGACGCAATGCGAACTGCTGTCCTCTTGGCCTTTATATGGCCAGAGTTTCCTTGCAATGCCCGCGGCTTCTCAGGGCGTCTCTGCCCTTCGCATCAACACAATCACTCTTCTCACGACCCAGCTCGTGAGAGCAAGATGGCAGCACTGTGCTTCGTCTCAACTTCGAGTACTCGAACCTGCTTAATCCTAAAAAGACGCTGTTCTAGAACATTTTGAGGTGGGTAGTTACCGTTATAGGAGCCTTGAATCTGAAAGATACGAGCATGCACATGTTCATCACGTGTCGAGTCCTTCAACTAAGGCCGTCGCCCATGGCACCCAAGAAGAAACCGAAGATGAGGCCGACGAAAGCCGAGAAAGCAGAGCAAACCTTACTGGGCTCATTATAACTAGAGTTTAACACAGAGGCTTCCGTAATCAGAAGATGATTTGGGGTATATTCCATTATTAGACTATAACTTACCATGATCGTCTAGGGACTATGAGAAAAATGCCTTATTGGGCTTGAGGTTTAAACTTAGCCCCAGACATCTGGATGTACGTGAAATTCACTGATTCCATTCCCGTGGGCCTACTGGCTTTTGGGGCTTAGGGTTTAGTTTAGGGTGTACTGGCTCAGGAGAATTTCAAGCAAGCTAGACAGCAGGATCGATCATCAAGCTACTGTACCAGGAACTTGAAATCGCGGGTCTTGTTGGTTTGCCTTTTCAGGAAGGTTTCTTTGACCAGCCACTAACTCGGAACCAATGTTTAGGGCTTAGCGTCTAGGGCCTAGGGTGCACTATACTTCCGTTCACGAAGACGGGCATCTGTGGGGCAAAAACCGAGATCTGTGCCCTTTCCATCTTCGAACGGTCGCTCCTTCTTCCACATGTGCAGTCAAAGCCTACATCTACCCGACAAAAACTGGAGTTTCTGCTCTGGGGTGCAGATTCTAGCGCTCAGCATAACAAATCTTCATGCAGAGACCCTCCCAACGATACTCTGAATGTGGCTGTATGAGGACTGCAGGACCACCCCTGAACCTGGGGTCCAAAGTAATAGGCTCATTTCGGAAACCCAAAGGACACTAGGCAGTTCTGATGCCCCAACCCAAAACACGGCGGTTTGGGGCTTAGCCGCTTAGAGTGGAGGACCGATAACATAGGGGCCTTAATAATTAGAATAGGGTTTGGGGGTATTTTATATTATTACTATACTAAGGAACCCCAAAGCCCTATGCTAATTATTTAGGCCCCTACATTACGCTCTTGGACCAAGACCATGAGGTTCAAAAGAGTCCAACTCTAATGACTTTGATGATCCCTAGCAGACTCTAGGCACAGCGTGTAGGTGATTCCCTCCTCAATAGGGCCCCGTCTGGATGCAGGCATCCGTTTCAGAAGCGGAGTATACCACATGACAAAGAAAACATTCCAAATTTCTGAGCTGGAATTATCAATGCTGGCTACATTGGCAGGAGTAGATACGCTCCTCGTAACGCCTTTCTGAGCGTCCTAAGCCCCTGCATTGCGAACTTCTGCCTCCTAACAAGCCAGAACTTCATCAAGCCGCTGTGCAAGCCGTGTATATCATTCTAAGGCCCAAACCCTTCACGCTTTTTTGAATCTGGTCTCGAAGGATATTGCTAGTCTGAAAGTGCAGCAGTCCATGCGCGGGACACAACTAGCAACTAGTACCTCTTGACTTCCCTCAAACACTAAGCCGCCCCCATACTCCAAAACCCCACAACCCTAAACATCCTAAACCCCTAAAGCCCAAAGACTTCAACCCTAAACCCATTAAGCTTTAAGGGTTTAGGGAAAGTTTAGGGTTTATAAACCCTAGCACCCATAACCCCCAAAACCCTTAACCCGAAAGCCCCAAACCCCAAAACCC